TTTCAGGAGATCGGAGGCGATATCTCCCTTAAAAGGAACAGGGAGCAACACATCCTTCTTTGAAACCGTTGCTACGGGCTTAACGCGCTCACGGGTCATGGTGTGCTTTTTGATGAAAGGTTCAGGGTAACCATTCGAAAGAAGTGTTTTCATAATTCGGTCCTTCTCACCCTCGAGAGTTTCCGGACTACAAATCTTGGTGGCCCGGTAATACAAACAACGCACTAAGTTGCGTTTGTACTTCAGAGGGACGAAGCTCTAAGTGTGTGTACTGTCCAACTCATATAGCCTGATGTGAACTACCAAAAAGAGATCTCTTTGCAACGCTGTGTTTTACTTTTCCATGGGCATTATCTACAAATTGTGTGCGAATGTTGAGCAAACATCGCATAGCGTATCACACACACGCACACATACAATCCCGCAAATTACTTGAGACATCAGTTGTGTCATTCTGTTTGAGGTAGACAATTTTTATGCCCGAGGCACCTTGATGTTAGCATTGCAGCTAGGCACGCTATCATTTTAGTGGTTATTGGAGTTCCGAAATAAGTGGAGGTAACCGCGAAGCACCAATACAGTTCGCCTCAGCAGCTATGACTCATGCATGCGTTGAAGCCGGTTGGTTTGGCATAAGCTAAAGCGAGCAATGCTATGAGTCAGCCTATGCAGAACTGACATCCAGAGAAGGTGAAAGAAGGCAGACGTTATGCATGAGCTGAATCGTGGTGGTGACATTGGTGTACTGCTCGTAAACATTTATAGCGTCAACCCTGTCTAGATGGACACCGCTGTGACAACGGAACACCACATGAGGCTAACGAACGTTGGGAGACCCGAGCAAGTGACGGAAACTCATCAGGTTCAGTGGTCCACATTGGATATGAAGACTTGGTCATTTTCGTTGTCATGTGTAAAACGCCTGCAAAGCACCTCCTGAACGCAGGTAAAGATTGATAGGTCGAAAGGATGGTGGTCACCATCGAGAGCGCCTACGGCTATACTACTGGTGTGCATTTTTCTCGAACCATATACATGCGCATCTGGAGTAGGAACGCAATGGTGAGCTTCCATCCTATGACATTCAGCATTCGTCGGCAGAGATTGATGCAAAATTATCCATACGTTTGTGTGTGTGTGTGTGCGTCTACGCCTACCATTCCAAGATGAGAGTCGATGTACTGTGTTTTGTTAAAACGAAGGTGCCAGGATGAAACGTGTCAGTGCAATTGATAGTCCGAGCCTATTATCGGGGGAAAGGTCACTCAATCCCTGTCATCGTGACTTCTGCTGCTCTCAAGATGGATTTCTAGGACGATAAAAACCCCAGCATGTGAGCACAAATGAGGCAAAAAAATATCAACCGTGTGGTGCACGGCGCGTGCGGTCATGTTAGAAGAACGACCGGGTGCAAGGGTAAAACGGAAGTACTAAACAACGAGTCCTCAGGAAAGTGCCAGTTGAGAATGGAACGTAAAGATCGAAAGGAATATCGATGAACAGCTGAACATACGTATACGCGAAACGGTAATAAGGGTGTGAAAGCAAGCGCGTTTACCGCCATTCCGCGTCGCAATTTCGACATTGGCTTAGGGCTGGCAGTGTAAGCTACTGAACAGATACACCATTGGTCTAGCCGACCGAATGCGACAACACACGCTGGCTGTTCACTATGGTGATCGATTGTAGTCGAGAAATCCACTTGGTACGACGAGCGCGGCTAACGGTATAGTGTATGGTTGGTTCACCAGGCTATGGGTAGGCGCAGTATCGAGGCAACCTAGCAGAGCGAAAACAAATTGAGTAAATGCAAAAACTGCGGGTGCATCAGAACCGGTGGACCGCTCGTCACGAAAAGTAAGGCTAGTGGACCGAAAATTATTTGTGACTAAATAGTTGTAACATCTTCGTGGTGGGTCAAATCTGAATGGTGTTACGCCAGTTCGGAACTCGCGTTCGACCAAACATCACGCAGTAACTTATGCACAACCAGTTCGACTGCCTTTAGCGAACTGAAGAGGATATTTCTCGGATCAATACAGAGGAAATGCGCCGTCTGACATGATTACTGTCAAATGCAATCTAGCCAACGACGTTTGATAAAACGAACCACCAGATGTGTGGTAACTATGACGTAGAAAAAGCAAAAGTGACGGTTAAAACGACAGAGAAAAAGAGAATAATAAGATCAGGGGATTGACATCCCAGACCCAAGGAGAGACGCAGCGAACCGGGCACTGAGCGACGTAGGACAGCAAATCCGGCCACTGTCGTTGTCAAGCATGTGACCACTGTGCCTAGCAAAACAGTGAAAACAAAGATAACTCAGTCTGTCCAGTACAATTATCACAATTCGCTACCATCACATCGCCAGACCATGTTGGTGGGGTATCGACAAGTAACGTGTGTGAAGAGAGATGGTGAGCACCAGAGACATGGAGGGCGACTGTGGCCAAAACCGGCCACAGCGCGGATTCGAGCCTGCGTAGCGGCAGGTCGATTCTCGCAGTGTCATTAGTGCATGTGCGACCAATGGTGGTTGCGCGACAACGAAGCGTCGGTACTACGTGCCGGCGTACTGCTGATGTCTAGGGCCAGATACAAATCATGAGCACAGTCCCAGAATTCGCCCTAACGGAAACGAGCTCATGCACAGAGAGAAAACAAAGTAACAAAAATCCATTGATGAATGAATCACGGGGAATGCTGATCCTCAGCAATCCAAAAATTCCCATTTATTAGAATGAATCAAGGGAGGCAGAATCTGAGTAAAGAATTCTTTTCGGTAATTCTCATCGGACTCAAACATTACATGATGAGGAGAAAGTGCTAAATGTGCCGGATTGGGCTGCGTATTGAACAGAATGTTTAATTTCACGGGTACAAATCAATAAATCACGGGGTCATTGGAAGTGGCAAGTATGTACAGGGGAAATCATAGCCGAAGTTGTAGGCCACGGTAGAAGTAAAGGACGTACAAACTGTTTTTGTACGCACAATTCTGGCTTGAGGTGGCGGATGTAGATAGCTTCCGCAATAGACAGAAGATGCATCCGGAATCCGCGCGTGAAACGTTCAGGAACAGTATAGATGACTCTAAAATCATTTTCCGTCCCTGCGTGACTGCACTCTAGAAGGTGAGATAAGATGGAACTGTTACTGGACCTCGCTTCGCCTTTGTAAAACCACTTTGGGATGTGTTCGCGAATCCTATGAGATAGGCGCCTCGTGGTACGACCCACGTATCGTGCCCCACAGGAGCACGAGTAAAGATAAACAAGCATTGATCGAGTCACCGGAGGCAGCCTGTCTTTCAAAGGTTTTGCGAATAAAGGCTTGTTGTAAAATACTATGCGTAGGCGAGCCGCGAAATAGGTCTTTTCAACAGCGTCTTTCAGGCGTTTGGACAGGGCATCAGCCGCACTGTCGCCTTTGAAAGGAATGTGCACAATTAGTTCTTTTTGGGTACGTTCATCCTCGGTGGTTTTATCTTGCGTTCTTTCAAATGTTTGAGGATGAATTTATCTGGATACCCATTCGCTCTTAGCGCGTCGCCGATTCTCTGCAATTCCTTGGTGATTGTGTCCGGGGTGCAAATTCTATGTGCCCGGAACGCAAGAGTGCGGACTAGGTTTCGTTTGTACTGTATGGGTACCGCACTATAGAAGTTGATGTACTGTCCAGTCCAAGTTGGTTTTCTATACACCCCTCTGCTGCACGATCCATCGGCGTTTCTGATGATATCAACATCCAGGAACGGTAGTCGGTTTCTGGATTCGTGCTCACATGTGAAATGTAGATTCTGATGCGCATCATTAAAAGCTTCCAACAGTTTCACAGTCTGCGCTTTCGATTTGCAGATTATAAATGTATCGTCGACATAACGTTTATACATCTCGACTTCGACATCTCGACCTCCAGATATGAGCTAAAGTGCGAAGGCAGCGATGGTCGGACCTGCTGGGCCAGGTTTCGCATCTGTACAGGAGGGTTGAACGGACGGTTGCATTGTAAACAAGGCATTTCGGGCGAGAGTGTGAATCGATACACAGAAATCGGTTGACAGTACCGGCAGTACGCCGGAACTGTGCAACGAGATCATGCAACCACCTGCAGTTGCTTGTGAGCTAGAGATACGATAGGGGTGTCTGAAACATCATAACACTGGTCTGTGACCACAAAAGCGATACTTCTAATAAATACTGAATCAGTGAACCACATCTGGTATTGCGTTCGTGAAAGGCATCAGAAGTATGCGGGCAACCGTAGCAACACTGGTCACTGCCACGCGACCACCACCACCAGTTGCATACGGGCTCAGAATACTGTGAGAGCACCCACAACCATGTAAGATTGAATCGACGACTTGGGGAGTAGAAGTCAGACGACTCGTACTCGGACACTCGCCAACTTCCATGAGTATAAGGCTGACGAACTCAGTTCCCAAATGAAGCCTGAAGTCGATGAAGTACGAGTATGATAGAATGGCACCAAATGTCAGGTTATAAGGTCCAAATTACTTATGCATAGGAAAATTTTCAATGAAATTGTACTGGTTCATCCTGGCATCTCACAAACTCAATAACCTAACGACTAAGTCAGAACAGCAACAGACGATCGTTTCGCCCTATTGGGGCTCGTCAGCGGTGCGCATTTCCTCGATCCCATTCAAGGAAGCTAACCCGTGACCACTAACAGCTCGCGCCAACTAAGCAGAAGCTTATGCGACTGAGCCATGCGGGACGGAGGCAGACCGTCTGGACTTACAAACTGACTGGGATAAAGCGCGACCTATCCACTACTGCTTTTCAAGTTACCACGATTGCAGAGGACAGTGGCTAGTTTTCCGTGTTCATGACTTACATTACACAGCAGCTACGTAGGCATAGTGTTTGGGGAATGCGAGGATAAACCTTTGTTATCTTATGTGGTCGAAAAGTGTATTATATTCGACACATGCTTAGCCACGGAAAGGTATATTTGATATGCAGAAAGACTTTAAAGCGTAAACTTATATTGTTAACTGCAAATCGCTCTCCGTCATCATCATGATGTCCAATTGGCAACAAATGATGAAATTCGTTTACGAATGGGGTGAAGAAATTAGTGGGGTGGTTATAATAAAGTGCACAATTTCCTATTCTTGCGCTTGGTTGCCAGGGCTGCTCGTGTGGCGGTCTCGAATACTTCCCGGACACCTTCTTTGGTCTTGGCGGAGCATTCCAAATAGGCGTAGGCATCTGTAAAAGTAGAGCAAAAAGATGCCTAAGCCAAAAGTGATAGATTGCGATGCTCCTAACAAATTACGCAGTCATTCGAACACATAAAGCTGGTGTCAACAAGCGATTTTCTTGTCTGACTGAGACAGAGGTCAACTTCAACAGTGTCAAAGAAATCTAGGTTGAGAAGTAATAACAGTGTATGAGCTTTACGCCGTAACGGCGCTTCGCTGCCGTGCGACCACCACCAGTCACAGGCGGGCTGAGCATACTGCGAGGACAGCCACCCTTACGTGGGGGCAATCACTAAGTTGAGACACTACAAAAGGCGAGCCACAGTAGTACTCCAACAGAGTGCACCGTACAGTTGTTTCGTCGCCAAAAAAGCATAAATAAAGAGGCCAATCATATTCACAAAAATAGTAGAAGGAGAAACCTAATGTACGACACAAACATGTGTGGTATGGGCGTATACACGTAAACATCATGAGGCAATAGTCTGCTTCTTTGATGATTTCACCACGTCCGTAATTGGTCCGCCACAACTCACAACTTAAGCAAGTAGTCCAGTAAATAGACGAAGGACAACGCCTCCGGTGAGGTCGAGTATCATGACCTGTAACCTCTCCGGTCAAGTATTGGATAGGCCGTGTGGACTATAACCCAGAAAGGCAGGACGAACCAAATGAGACCAGCTTCTTGGTTAGCGACTTAATTTCAAGCGACCGGGTTAATGATTGTCCCACGAATCAGAGTAGGTTCGATGAGCGAAGGTATGCACGGAAACCATCCACACGTAACACGCATCTGAGCCAATGCAACTTCCTCACCTTAATTTGCTGAACTCAAGAAAAAACTTTACGACATAGCATTGATGCAAGCAAAACGGGAGCACACGCACACACAAGCAAAGCTTCATCGGAAGCGAAGAACAGTCGCCTGAAGATAGCTGATATTTTCAGACCGAGAAGGCTAGGTCTCACGAAGGATGGCATTCACCGTGATTTCGTAAACATAATTTCCAAAACGTAAAAGGTGCACTTATTGTGGAAGATGCTGAAGATCAGTAAGAGTAGATTGGAAGCTCAACGTGAAACATTGTGTGAGTGGATTACGACGCGTAATCTCAAAGTCGTCCGTCATCACCTGAGGGCCGAAGCAGTAGAGACCTAGAGGCAAGACTCCAATAGCCCCAGGATCGAAGCCTGTTATCTGCACTTGATGAGACCAAATAAGGTCGAAACACGTTACGGGGTGCACTGTTTTCGGTCGGACAACACCCAATATCTATCTACCACATAAATAAGAGCAGTTTCAGCTTCAGGAGAAAGATAACTAATGAGAAAAATCTTATCCCGGTCCCTGTAAATTGGGCAAATAGTGGAAGCGAGCAAAGATCTGCATGTGCAGGTCGTTAAGCCCCAGGTGGTTAGCAACCGGATGGTTATTCGGTAAAATTGCTATGCACTGTGGAAGTGTGAAGCACAAAGCAAAGCGAGATCACTCTGGACAAGGAGTCCAGGGTCAGTTGAGCTGTCTAGTCCCTGTGTGGGACGGCAGGACAAAATCAGATGCGTAATCCACATCGACTAGTTGTCTGGAACTCCAGCGCATGCACTGTGATACCCAATAAGACGGGGAACCATGACTGAACACACGATGACGGCGAGCGGATAGAAGCGAGAAAATAACATGAGCGTGATGAACACAGCCAAAGAACCGTTTGATAATTCGCAATGGACTCTACTCTTCTGAATTCCTATCAAAGTACGCCGATATGCGAGTTGAGTAAGCGCTCAATGGATACAATCGAAGCCCACTGGTCTCATGTTCATCAGACCTTACTAGCAGCAGGCAAATCCTCATGTGGTAAGTCTAATAGCCAACATGGAAATTGGGTCTCTTCGCAGCCGCTGGAACTTATAGATGCTAGCAGGCACATTCTGGCTGGAAGCGAACACAATGAAACGCGCAGAAATCTCCGGGCAAAACGCTGTGCCAGCCTGAAGAGAGACCGTGAATCCTGGTGGTCTCATCGTGCGTCAGAGATGGAAATGTCCCCTGGCCTCAATAACCATCGTAAGTTATTCCGTCTGATACGGGAAATGCACAGCAGGAGACCTGGTGCTAGTGAAACTATACGTGACGAGAGTGGACAGCCTCTCCACAACTTTTCAAAGTGTTTGCTGTGTTGGCCAAGTTAATCGGCCGGAATTGTCACATTAATCGACGGCCACTGATCACCCTGCTCCGTGAGCTGTCCCTTTTGATCCGCTCTCTCGCTCACAAGAAGAACATGAGATCGAAATGCAGAAGCTGAACAAAGCCACGGGATCAGATGATCTTCCTCCAACCCTCTTCAAATTCGGGATCCCTGCATATATTGATGATTTACACGAGTTCCTAGTGCAACTGTGAGAGCAGGAAACTGTCCCAACCGACTGGAGCCGCTCCGTCATAGTCCCAATTTTCAATGGAAGCTCACGATCGGAATGCGGCAATCATGGAGGAATCAGTCTGTTCACTATCGTCTCCTTCCCAGACTGATTGGCACTCGTGAAATCCAGATCTGTGAAGAGCAAGCCGAGATTCGTCGAGATCGCGACTGAATTGATCATATCTTCACTTTGCGTCAGTTGTTGGAGCACCGTCACATATATTGGCGGCCTACCGTTGTCGTGTCCCTCCACATCAAAGTTGCCTTCGATGCGGTTGATCGATGTGCTCTTTGGGACCGTGCACTCAGGAAAGGTATACCCGGGAAATATGAAAATATTATCCGAGCATTATATACCCGTTTCTCGGCAAGCTGTCGCCGACCTTCATTATCTCCAGCAGTGTGAGACAAGGACGCTCGCGGTCACCTTTCCACTTCAACATCGCTATGACGAAGTCATGGGAATCGAGTTCACAGGACACGAGTTAGAAGGTTTGGATCTGCTCCCAAGAGAACAACTTCGTGACTTGGAGTATGCTGACGATATTGCCCACATCTGTGACAGCTCACAAATGTGCCAAACTGCACTGGACAGATTAGCACTCGCTGTCCGTCACTTCGGGCTTTGCTTCGCACCCACGAAGTGCAAAGCGTTCTCCCAACATTGGCTGGACAGCCTCTTGCGCTGACCCATGGCGGGGAACAGCTAGAAGCCGTTCAAAAATTCAACTACCTGGGAAGTTGTACCAGCTCTCTTGGGATCGAAGATGAGATCACGAACAGTATATCAAAAGCTCGAGGCGCTTTTACTATAGTTCGCCATCTATGGCACCGGCCATGAAGGGTGGAGTGTACAATTAAACGGTACGTTCAACCCTACTGTACGGTTATGAAACCTGGCCTCTTAGATCAGCGGACATCAAGATGCTAGGTACCTTCGACCACCGGTCTCTTCGCAATTTGGATCACATCTGGTGGGAACACCGCGTGAGCAGCGAGCGTGTTCAATGCCTTGCTTACGGCATAGGAAAGGAACTAAACCCCTCAGCAGCGTTATTTCACGCACCAGGCTCCGATGGCTCGGCCACGTGCCACATGCCAGACCACCGACTCCTGCGACGTGCGTTATTTTCGCGTCGGGGTTGTGGACGGAAGAAGAGGAGAGGTGGTCAAGCGATGACTTAGTAAAGAGGAATGAAGGCCCTCACTTCGAAGTTGACCTCGGTTGGAGCGTCTCGACTACCTGGTTGGGGTCAGAAAGACGATGAACACGTTTGGCTGGATACACTTGTTGATATGGCTAGGAGCCGAGCTCAGTGTGGTTCGTGCTGAGTTTCTTTGTCCCACCCCATCCCTCTTAGCGTCTCCCTCTAACCACGATCCCATTCCTTAGCGTAATATTATTTTACATAATAAATCTTTTTTGTTATATAGTAGCCGGCTGGTAGCTTTCCGGAACGACGCTCATCCGTTACGTTACTGGTAGCTCAGGTGGCATGTATCGGTATGTTTTTTTTTCTTTTAGGTATTGCGGCACAGTAGCTGAGGTGTTTCCCACCTCTAGCTAACGTTTATAAGGATGATGATGACTACTGTGACCAAATGTTCTGAGGTGTGGCAGAAAAACGGATACGAAAGATCGGATTTGTGGACGAATGTCAGACGCCGGGTGGTCGTTTCGAGAGGTCCCGTCTGGTGGTTCGCATCTCGAACCATTACCTCAATAACCTAATTGAGTGAATAATGACAACCATTGAGCAGTTTCGCGATTAAGCACACCGACCTAAATTCGTTAGCGTCAATTGTGCCTAGGAACGGTGAATTAAACCCAAGAATGGACTGTGACCATCACGCTTCCTGCACTGCAGTGACTGCAATGATTTCCGAAAAACAAGGACAGTCTCTTAGGTTGCACTTGAGACAGATCGTGTGCTTCACTGCCTCTCTCGAACACTCATATTCTGATCCTACCAATCAGACAGGTAACACGGCGTTAGTATTTCGGATTCTGGCCCAAACAAATCACCAAAATCGATAAACAACAGATTTGATAAGCCAGAAGATAATGTTCATTTTGCTGAGCGTGCTTTATTAAATAATGTTGCGTTGCTACTATAAATTGTCTGAGCTGGTCGTTTGCTCTGACTAGTTGTCGCGGAAGGCCAAGCCTTCTCACTATCTGATTCTATCATCAACGCATTCTCAACGGTTTGGTTCTGCCAAATCGACTTCAAGTGCCGTTAATGAGAAGCCGTAGAAGAAGCACAGCTATGAAGTTGACTTAGAAGAACGCCATGATCGATCTCACTTGATAGTCCATAATAGTTTAAACGGAGCTGTCACAGAGCTGATCCCCTTGCTGGCGAACATAAGGGGTATACATTAACGTTGCTCGAAAAACGCACAACCCTAAATGAATAAGCTGATCGGTAACCTACTGGTTGACGCCCAGGGGAACGGGCGGAAATGTGTGTGGATCGGTGCCTGTCTGTCTGTTAACAAATAACCAAGAATTGGTGGATAAACTTCCGTAGTGCGAGATGAACCCAGATGATACATTCAGCGTATACGAACGATCCAATGCGAAACATTGTAGCGTTGAAAGCACTAGGTCATAAGATGGGCGTAAAAAGGAGAGACGCATGGTCAAATTGATGATAACAGATGCCCATAACCGCCTACGCAAATACGAGAAGGTCATAACCGACAATAGCACTAATTGCCCCAGTGCTCTTGACCCACAACTACGAACAGCGCTGGAATCCGCAATTGAACGTTGAGTCAAAAGCACCAAGAACCGACGCAAGATTGCATTGAACACCAAGTTAGACAAACTGACTGAGTGAAATGACTGCACTAGCAGCGAAGGATGGATCAAAAACCTTTCACGCCGCCACCTCACTGCAACTAAAGAGGATGTCTCGGTTAAGGGGTTCAACTTCAACGTCAAATGTACTTGCTCCAAAGACAACTTGGCTAGCTTAGAACACGCAGTGAAATCAAATGGACTGTCGGAGGAGTCCCAGCAACAGTTACGGCAGACAGTTGTTCCAGTGCTAACTGGGAATAAAATCACCCAGACCTTAGCCAAGGAGGAACAGGATGCACTCAGACGTCTACAGAAAGACGCGAACATTGTAATGCTACCAGCGGACATCCGGCGCATGGCAGTGATAATGGATAAGCCGGAGTATATTATCAAGGCCAAAGAACTGCTATCAGACACAACCACATATCGCCAGGTTGATCAAGATCCAAGTTCAAAACTGGTTAACCAGATCAACGCAACGCTGAAGAAACTACAAACAAAGAACGAGCTCACCGCCACAGAGAGATGGAGAATGAAAGCTGATGATACAAACATTGCACTGTTTTATGGACTGCCAAAAGTACACAAAGATGGAGTCCCACTACGACCAATCGTCTCGCTCCCCGGAACCCCATCATATAAACTAGCGAAGGATTTATGGAGGAGGTTGAAACATTTGGTTGCCGGATCCGAATATAGCATTAACAATGCTGAAGAATTCCTCAACAAACTGCGGAGTGTCAGAATAGAAGACGAAATAATGATTTCATTCGATGTCACAGCACTCTTCACTTCAATCGGTCATGATTTGGCCAAAGAAACCATGTTGGAACTGCTTGAGAATCGACTAAGCCCCACGACGACCATACGACCGGAAAGTGTTTGGGAACTCCTGAACCTCTGCATGACCACGTATTTCCGCTTTGATGGACAAGTGTATCAGCAACTGAGAGGAACCCCAATGGGGTCAGCAATTTCGGGGCTTATTGCAGAAGCCCTAATGCAGAGATTGGAACGCATTGCACTGCCATCTATCAGCCCAAAACTCTGGATACAATACATGGACGACACGTTTGTCATCGTAAAACGGAACAGAGTACAGGCCACGCACGATTTGCTCAACAACACATTCGAGGATATCAAATTTACGATTGAATTAGAGGAAGATAACAAGCTACCATTTTTGGATGTACTGGTCACTAGGAATAGAGACGGATCTATGGAAACGTGCGTATATCGGAAGAAAACACATACGGACCAGATATTAAACTACCACAGCAACCACCCAATGAACCACAAGAAGAGCTGCATTCAAACCCTGTTCAAAAGAGTGGAAACGTACTGCAGCACAACCGGATCTCGGAAACAGGAAGAAAATCACCTATATCGAGTGTTTAGAAAGAACGGTTATCCAAGAAATTTAATCAGAAGAAGCTTAAAGAAACGAATGCCTCAGCAACAACAGCAGTCATCTGATCAAGCAAACAAACGGATAGTGCTTCCCTACATCAAGAACGTCTCCGAACTAACAGGAAGATTGCTGCAATCACATGGAATCTCTGTGGCGCACAAGCCAAGTGCCACCCTAAGAAAATTGATCTCAAGACCCAAAGGAAAAGTCAATCGAGCCGACCAATGCAATGTCATCTACCAGAGCAAATGCAGCGACTGCGATAAAAACTACGTCGGACAAACTGGAAGAAAACTTTGTACACGAATCACCGAACACAAGGCGGCCGTCAAAAGGCATGATTCACACTCATTGGTTTCTGTGCATGAAGATCAAGATGGCCACCATTTCGATCTGGAGAACGTAAAGATCCTAGCCCATGGAAATACAAAACACGCGAGGGAGTTTTTGGAAGCTTGGTACTCTACGACGCACTCAATCAATCGACACATCGAACTGGACGCAGTATACGCCCCCCTACGGAGGAACGACCGCCAACTCGATCGATTGAATCCGGTGGAACGTGTGACTAGACCAACAGAACTGACGGCAAACTCACTCGCAGAAGCAAGTAGACAAAGGCCACGAAACACAAAGAGGCGAGGTCAAAGGTCATCTGCCCATCAACCAAGCTGAACGCGGAGCGAAGTCCCAACCAATAGGATTGCTCGGCTCCACGGCCAACCACGGCGGTATAAAAACGCACGCACACCACGCTCAGCGCGCTCTCACCGAGGCTCCCCTACGCTACGCTACGCTATTACATGCCATTCGACTACGCACTGATGTTGTCACCTCGATTGGTGACAAAACGTTTGCAACAAAATTGCCAAGCTCAGCGAACAGTTCAACAGCCAAAAGGATGTAAAAACAGAAGCCACAACAAACACACTTACTTATGCGCTCGGCCATCATACGCCCCTCCTCCGGTTTGACCATCTCTTGATGCATTTTGGCCAGCTCACGGAGAGCACGTTCGTCATTCCGCAGGTCCTTCTTGTTCCCCACTAAGATGATGGGAACATTAGGACAAAAGTGTTTGACTTCGGAAAACCACTTTTCCAGGATATTAACCCGACTGTCAGTACTGCAAAGGAGAAATATGGGGGGGGTGAACATGATGTGATGACGCACCACTAGACAGAGCCATCTGCGAGGAAACATCAAACACCGTAAATAGGGTCTATGGGTCTTGTAGACACATCGACAAAGCAAATACAGAAGAGCCTCTGAGCCTTCGATTCTGAGCTGCGGTGCTAAACCAATGTACTTTGCGAATCCTCTGCCCGGCATGCTAATCGAGACTTGCGCGAATCGTCTTGAGTAGCGTTAAGAGTGCATTGCGTTTAGTGACGCATCTCAAGGGGTGTGCGCGCGGGTCCACAAAAAGGAACCACAATAACAGTGAAACATTAGCTTAAATCGGAGAAGACCCTTATATAAAAAATAATACATAGGTGAATAGAGCACCAATCGTTGAGTGACGTGCTTGCCTTAGGTGTGAAGACAGCAAGTCGCATCACAAACACCTGAACTCGCAGATGTGAAGGGATGAACAGGAAGCCCATCCTCAGAAAGGGAGGACAGAAACGCATGGTCCAAGAGAAAGGGACCGGAAGACAGAAAGAGACGCTCAAGACATGTCTGGGTGTCCCGCTAAAATTTTGCCCGTTTGTTTCCCCTTCCACTCTTGTTTCATTCGACCGGTTGTTGCTAGCAGCTTCAACAAAATAGCGATGCGAGTCGTGACAACTGGGACAATAGCGCCGAAGGTAAGGATCAAGCTGGTTATTGGATGGGAGCTCTCCTTTCAGAGTAGACCAACTTTCAATAATTCCGGCTAATTTGAAATATGATACGTCCTAAGGAGCGATTAAGAAGACATAGAAAGAAATGGGCTCAAAGTATTTGTATACAAACATATACATGTGTGTGTGCGTCTATACCATCTGAAGCACGATTAAAGTGGAAGCACTGAAAAGCTGATCAGCAAATGGTAGGCAACAGTAACATAAAATGGATCTTTAAAGCAGTTAGTACCCTATAACCATTTGCACAGTGCGGTAAGAAGACGAAAGCTGGCAGATGCATGCATTTGGTATTGTCTCCTCAGTACGAGTAACAATAGTACGACTAACAATATTCAGCTATATGAATAACCATGGGTGTGACCAAACAAGCAGGAGGTGCAAAATGAATGACGTAAGTTCCACCCACATGTCTACGGTAGCTTTAATCTCACAAATAATTCCATTTCAACACACAGGGTTGGCCTCATCCGGCTTATTGCCACAGCCTCGGTGAACCGGAGAAAGCGAGGATTAGAGTGACATAACACAATTGTGAACGCTGATCCGTTGAGGCATGACCAGTAGGTGCCTAGCTATTGGGGAAGCCGACGGCTTGGGCCAGCAAAAAGATTCAGGGGGGGGGCAGGGATGCTGGTCAATTTCAGGCTGAACGCGCCGCATGTGTTGCTACATTAGGAAGTCAAACGCCGATCAGTTCTACCTATGTAACTGGATCCGCGGTGTGAATTGACCCCAATTGGTTGGGCTTCCTTCGTTGGAGGCACCGGTAAAGTACGAGTACGGTTAATGGTCATGAATTGAGCAGCATGGTGACTTCTCTGCGTAGCAGAAATTGAACGTCACCCATGAAAAACAAGTCGATAGATTTTTTCTTGGCTTCCATATACACTGATTGCTTTGGGCTTCGCTGCTGACTGTGTTTCTCTGAATGTGCGAGGATAACCATTCGGTATGAGCATAGCTCGTCGGTCGGACAATCAACCGAGTAGTCGTTTAACCCGACTAAAGTTTTCACAATGCTTCGTTGGCATCATACTAATGCGAAACTGGTGAAGTGCAGGTATTGGCCGGACCATGTAGCTCATATGTAGACCGGCGTCCTAATTACTCCGTCATCCCAGCGACTGATAGAGATGTATAAGTATGGTAGACAGTTATACTGCTCCACCCCACAGGTGACCCGCAAATTGGCATGTGCACTGTTAAGCTGCTGCAGCAATTACAAAATTTGCTGCTCAGACGCACAAAAGACCAATATGTCATACACATAGCGCTTATAGTATGGCAACTTGGCTATTTCTGTGGATATGCCTCTTTCCATCATTAGCACAAAGAAATCAGCGAAAACAGGGCTCAGTGGGCTACTCAATACTAAGCTATCGATTTAATGATATGGCGCATTCTGAAAATGGAAAGTGACATTTTCAGGACATAACAGCAATTCGACTGGAATTGGTAACGAATAACCAGATTGTTCAGTAAGTTCGCAGATGTAAGCAACTGTCTGGTGTAGCGGGACGTTAGTGAACAGATTCCACATCCAAGGAACACAACCTTATCTGACAGGTTGGTGTTATCTAAGTCTAAGTTGAAAGGAACCCTTAAGCCTATAGGGATTGGCCAGTTGTCGCAGCGGTGAAAGCATAGTCCCTAGCCAGCGAGCTAATTTGTGCTGCGGCGTATTTACCATCTAGGTGGAACTCCACTGTTGTGCGCTTTCGGCGATCCATACAGCTGCGGAGTAGTGTTGGCACTTGGCTTCAAACAATCATAGGTGTCACTATCAAGCAGGCGATGAAGGAGAAGAGTTTCAAGATGGGCATCTATGCGAGCTTTAACGTCGGCTACGTTCCCTATATTATTAAGTCATTCAAACTCGCTCGTGTCGTAGAGTATGCTACCCATTTTCTGAGTGTACTCAACCTTGTTCATGACCACCAGTCCAGAGCCCTTCGCCGGTTTCATCCCAATTACGTTCTTAGTACGCAATTCACGCAGCGCCTAAACGTGTCGGCTTGTAAGCGCGCATTTTTCACTCACTGGCACAGTCTTCACTTCGTGGGCAACATCGGTCAATTTGTTTCTAAACCAAACAACACTCTCAGGACTGGATGGTTGAAGCTGCTTAAATTGATTAAAAAGTTCTCAAATTGGGCTTATATAAACAAGCCATTCAGCCTGCTAAGGGGAACTTCATAATCAATCCCGTATGACAATGCTTCTAACTGTAACGCATTAAGTTGTACGCCCGATAAATTCAATATGTACTTACTAGGGTCATGAATAATTGGCTCCTCCTCTTGGCTGTTCGTTAGCAAATGCTCCAAACGAGTATTCCGATTTCTCCTTGCACGGTAAAGTGTGAATTTACAAAAGTTAACCAAACACAATCCGATGACACAAAGATGGATCCACTATCCCCGGTAGTAAGCGTGTATGCATTTCCAGTAAACACACATGGTTGGACTCGGTCGTCTCCAGGTGAGCGGATGCCACGCGTCTGAGGTCAGTCACAGATGACTTGAGTTTATCTCTACGTAACAATATTAAAACCGAGCGAAGGAGCTTAAAGCTGCCATGGACATAGGGGTCATTCATTTTGCGCCTCATGCTTGTTTGGTAATATACCCATAGTTATTTACAGAGTTGCATATTGGCTATTGTTAAGGAGACCGAGGAGACAATACGAAATACATGCATCTACCAGCTTTTGTCTTCTTACCCCACTGGAAAAAAAATCGTTTGTCCATTTAGGTATCACACATATCCTCCTGATATTTGCCTTTAGAATTAATTGGAAAAGGCGGTCAAAGAATTACTGGTGACGCTGAATTCAGGAGTCAGTGTCGCATGGCATCTTCGTTGGAAGACGAATAATAGAGACAACTAGTGACAAAACGCAAGATCAAATGCTTCACGCTCTTTTCGCACGTTTTTCTAGCACATCCAAGAAGCATAAACGTGTGTAGGGGAAAGTGATGAGTAGTACCTGACCAAGTGGTGGACGCACACGGGCACCAGAGAATTATGCTTTGGAGATGGGGACTGTTCGCCCCAAGGACCCGAGTACAGACCTCCATGTTGGTTATACCGGCCCGTAGTCTTAAGGATCACAAGCATACTTTGTCACCTGGGGGCGCGGATTCAAGCCTACGTAGGGACCGAGAGACCCCTGCAGCATCCTTAGCCTACGTGCAACTGGTGATGGTAGCGCGGCAGCGAAGCGTCAGTAATGCGTATAGGCGTATCGCTGATACCTTTCTTTCTCACATATTGCTCATGCGATACTATCACTACGCGCGAGTAACTTTAGGAAAAGAAAGGCTGCTAAAAGCCAACTAGCACTGTAAAAATTGTCAGGGAACATGTTGAGTCTCAACGGTAGTATCGGCATATTTAAATACTCTGAATTAGTTTTACTCCCATGGATCTGTTGTGGCGTACAAGCCTGCTTAGAACCACCGCAAAGTGGTTTGTTCGCTTAGCTGACTTCGTAAATTTTAGCAGCGGACGAATGTGGAAAATGGATAAATGGTGTGTGAGACGGTAAAAAAAACAAGACTATTTGGAGAGTGTTGACCATCGATCATGAAGCAAAAAAGTCATTTCGCAGCCACATAATGGTGCACTATGCCAAAGGTGTCAAAATAAGTGGAGTTAGTTCGGACATCTCGGACGATGCGAGGCGGTTCTAGGAACTGCAATTTGCAAGAGACTTGCTGGATCGGATTGGTGCACGATAAGAGCACGGTTGACTGGTGACTATATCTTCAACATCAGCAGTTGGGACTTTTTAACTGGATGTGTCTGGTAAGCAGAGGACCGACAGTGTACACAACAGTCGCACACGAGTTGCGTCAGTGAGTACATTAAACTACCACATCAAACGATTATCCCAGCATACGTGCCATGATACCCTCACCGACGCCGAATGATACTGACATGAAAGAGAAACGAGAGAGGCGGTAAAGAAAAGAAAGTTGTACACGAATTTCGGACTAGAATGTTTGATCAAGGTTTCAAACCAAGTTGAGCAGAAAGTCTAAGACCAAATACCAAGTAGAGGAGGGATAATCTGGCGGTCTCGTACGGTACGAGTAAAGTCTCATTGGTGCTAGGAAATAGAGAGAAGTAATCTAAGTCTCCAGTGTGAAGTGACCAAGTGTTTGACCACAACCACATGGTCTGTGTCGAAAAGTTACACTTAACAACCTACTCCTCGACCAGACAGATCTACAAAACTATATACGCCCGCACAAGGGCTTATGGTAGATCT